TGTAATGGTCGCTTTGGCTTTTATAAATATAGATAAGTACTGAGATTGAGCTAATCAAAATCAGACAAGAACTACTTGGGAAGATAAAAAGGTTGCGGTGAACATGGAGTGAAGATTTGGGAAAAAGAGTGCTATAGTCTCATCTTGCATAATATGAAGTCAGTAGGAAATACCTAAACCTAAAATAATCAAGTAGTAACAATGTAGGCATATCATTTAGAAAAATCCTATATAATAAAAGCCTAATATGCTAAGGCCACTCAACTGCTTGCTATGATATGCACTGACCACTGGGCAGACAGTCATCTGATCAACCAGTCACTATGACGTTCACTGACCACTAGGGGGCAGATGCTCCAACCAGTAGGTTAGCTTGCTGCTGGGGTCCGGCTGATCAGGACTGAGGGAGAAGGGCCAGACACACACTGGAGCCCTCCCACAGTCCCTCTCCAGCTGGCCACCCTCCTGCATCCCTCCCTAGCCCTGATCATGCACTGGTGGGGTCCCCCGGCCTGGCCTGTGCCCTCTCATAATCTGGGACCCCTTGAGGGATGTCGGAGAGCCGGTTTTGGCCCCATCCAGCAGGCCAAGTTGAGGGATCCCACTGGTGCATGAATTCGTGCACCAGGCCTCTAGTAAATAAAATAATCATCTAAAAGAAGTGTTAGATAGAAAAAAAACAATAAAATAAAAAATAAGCCCAGCCAGCATGGCTCCGTGATTGAGTGTCAACCTATGACCCCAGTCATGGTTCAATTCCTGGTCAGGGCATATGCCCTGGTTGTGGGCTTGATCCCCAGTAGGGAGCGCGCAGGAGGCGGCCGATCAATGATTCTCTCTCCTCATTGATGTTTCTATCTCTCTCTCCCTCTCCCTTCCTCTCTTGAAATCAATAATATATTTAAAAAAAATAAATGAATGAATGAATAAATAAAAGAAGTGATAGGTTGTCTCTAGGGAGGGGTTACTAAGTGCAGAAAAAAGTTTGTTAAATTCAGCATTCATTCATGGTTTTCTTCTTCCCTTCCCCACCCCTTCCTAATAATCCAGCCCTAAAGCCACGATGTGGGGCAGGGCAGAACAGGCACCCAAGCAGATGGCTGTTTGGGGTGAGCTATCCGGCCTGAGCAGATCTTGTTTCATATAGGCTTTTACAGTTATAAGTTTCCTTCCAAGCACTGCCTTAGTAGCACCCCACAGGACTGGACATGCTGCCCTGGATTTCCATTCATCTCAAAGTATTTTTAGATTTTTCTTTTGACTTCTTTGACCCACTGGTTACTTAGGAGTGTGCTGTTTAATGTTAACATATCTGTGAATTTTACCAATTTTTTCTGTTATTGACTTCTATTTCATTCCATTACCATAGTCAGAGAACATATTTTATATTATTTCTACCCCTTTAAATGCATCGAGGTTTGTTTTATAACCTAGCAGATGGTCTCTCCTTGAATGTATACTCATGTATATTGATAACATATTCTGTTGTGTGGAGCGTTCCCTGGCTGTGAGTTAAGTTTAATTGGTTTATGGTGTTGCTCAAGCCTTCTATTTCCTTGTGGATTGTTCAGTTGTTCTATCCATTATTGAAAGTAGAATAGCTAAGTTTCCCTTCCCCTCTAAATTTCTAATGTTATTCTTGTAGTCTGAATAGGGCTTTCTTCTTATTTCCTGACCACAACCAGTGTGGGTGGGAACCATACCAGAGTTGTTGGAGAGCCAAGGCAACTTAGAGTATGAATGCCCTTGTTGACAGTATGACAGAAGGCCAAGGCCTCTCTGAACATGGGAATCTTAATCGGAATGTTCAAGGCTAAGATACCATAGGCAGGTGCAAGGTCAACAATTACAGTACACTGCCCACGCCTGCCCTTCTATAACCCAAATGATTGATGTCACTGTTGGCAACTGGCCTCTTTTGTAAAGTGGTATAATACATGTTACGGACCAGCTAGTGTACTGGAGAGGTGGTTACTATGTGGGGCTACATGCAGGAGAGAGAGGGGAGAGGCCAGAGAGGCTGGAGAGGCTCCTGAGGCTATAGCTCTCCTAAGGGAAAGCTCAGGTGCTGCTGCGATGTAAGGGGGAGAAAGGTGGAGACAGGAGAGAGGCTGGGGAGAAAGGGCAGGCTCAGAGGATGTGCTGAGAGAGACTGGTGCTGCTGCGACGTGAAGCGGGAGAAGCCTGGAGAGGCTACTGAGGAAGAGAGCTCAGGTGCTGCTCCTCTGTGAGGCGGTGAGTCTGGGGCAGTGTGTGGCTGCTCGGATAATAGCTGTGGGTGCAGAGGCTACTGCTGCTTTGTAGGAAAACTGGTTTATCAGCCGGTGTGCGGCTGCCTGTATAGGACTTTGCTGTGAAGGACTGTTTTGTCTGATGGCTATATGGCCACTGGCTTCTACAGTAAAGGCTTTCTTATATACACCCACAGCTTCTCATGGCTTCTCCGTCTACCACCCGGCATCCAAGAAGGTCCAGCCCCTGGCAGAGGGGCTCGGCCCTGACAGTGAGTGCAATGGGCAGGGTTTGAGAAGAAATCTGCCCTGACCGTTGGCGTAGTCATTAGCAGAATTCAGAAGAATATACGGACTCAGAGCAGCAGTGCTCTGTGCTGCTCCCACGACCAGCTGTTCAGTTTCACCAATTTGTTGGCTGATGGCTTATTGTTTTCAACAATGCCCTGACATAAATTGCTCTACACATAAATCTGATCAAATATCGGCTCCTTTGAAGCAACAGTTTTCTCTTGCAAACTAGCCAATTTACAATTTAGCCCATGTTTTGAACTTCCTCCCCACTGCTTATCACCACAACCTCCAGGTTTTTAGAGAGCAACCTCCGGCTTGAATTTCTCCATGTTCTGTTGCAAATGAAGTCAGTTCATTTGGGAACTGTTTAAGAGCTATGTGTTTTATGGACTGCTTCTCCCCCAGGCACAACCACTGAGCCTGCGCTTTGGAGCAGGCAAAGTCAACCTCCCTGGTCTAGGGGCTGAACGCTAGGTGGAGGAGGAGGCAGCAGCCTGAGGTCCTCTGGTTTGATGTCTTCTGGCTGAACCACCACTTTAGGAGCTGGGGTAAGGGTAACTAGGATCCCAGTATTCACCGCACTCCAGCCCAAAGTAGAGCTTAGATATCAATGTAAGAACATCCAAGCCTGTGGAGAATTTGTATAAAAGTTTGAGTCAAACAGAGAATACGCCTGGAAGCAGGATCTCAACAGACTGAGAAAAAAAATGCTTCGAAGAACAACAGATTGCAGTTCTTTTTATGCATTTGAGATTAAAGAGTGAAGTAAGGAAGGTTACATAAAGGCAGGAGAAAGCAAGGTCAGGGTTGAATTACAGGACACAAACAATAATTCGGTGAAGGCCTGGGGTGGGGTGGGAGCCAAGTGGAGGGGGCACTGGAGGAAAATTAAAGGGGGTCTTCTCTAATACTCTCAGCAATAGAGAAAAAAAAACTCCCTCAAAAAACAAAAGAGATGCCGAAACTGGTTTGGCTCAGTGGATAGAGTGTCGGCCTGCGGACTCAAGAGTCCCAGGTTTGATTCCGGTCAAGGGCATGTACCTGGGTTGCGGGCACAACCCCAGTAGGAGATGTGGCAGGAGGCAGCTGATCGATGTTTCTCTCTCATCGATGTTTCTAACTCTCTATCCCTCTCCCTTCCTCTCTGTAAAAAATCAATAAAATATATTAAAAAAACAAAAAAACAAAAGAGATTATGTGCTCTCTTGGGGTGGTAAAGGGATCTGTAAGGGGGTCTTTCAAAGTGTGTTAACCTAAATCCGCGGTTCTCAACTTGTGGGTCACCTAAGACCATCAGAAAACACATATATAATTACATATTGTTTTTGTGATTAATCACTATGCTTTTGTGGACGAAAGGGACCACACGCTGACCTGACAAGCTCAGGGAAGGCCTGCGTGGCAGCCTAGCAGACTCAGAGACCTAAAATAACCACAAAGGATGGTCTGAAATTAAACTGAAACTAAAAGCAGTTATGGTGGGCAGTTACGCCCTAGGCCCGTATCTTCACTGACAAGGTCCACTTTACCGTAACTGAGCCTATCTGTCTTTTTCTGCATCTAAGATAACATATCCTTGGGATATCTGGGTAACTTATGACTTCCCTTTTTATGGACGCCCTGGGGCACAGCCAGGTGTGCTGGGCCCAGGACAGATGCAGCAGATTCCTTCATTTATCATGTTAATTGATCCTGCACCCACCTAAGTATGTGCTCATCATTTTACTTTTTATCCAATCCCAGAGGTTTCCCTGCTTCGCTTTATCCCTCCTCCTTAATCTATCACCAATGAATTTTATGTAGCCCACCTATGTTCCTCCTTTGATTGAAATGTATAAATGCAGATGTAACCCCACCATTCTCCGGAGCACTATCTCAATTCGTTGAGGTTCTGCTTCCCGGCATATGTCGACAGTTTGGCTCAAATAAACTCACAAAAATTCTTTACAGGTTTCAATGGTTTTTTTATGTTAACACTTTAATTATGTTCAATTTGTAACAATGAAATTGGGGGTCACCACAACATGAGGAACTGTATTAAAGGGTCACGGCATTAGGAAGGCTGAGAACCACTGCCCTAAATGAACAGACAATGGACAGGGCTTGCTTAAGGCAAAGAAAATGAAAGAAGTGTGACTACCCACCATGACCTGCCCAGTTAGAAATTTATGATTTATTACCCCTCTTTTGTGCACTTTCTGTTCCATGAGTGGGGCTGAACGAAAGGATCCTTTATCTTTCAACCACACTCACCCAGGACCTCGCTTCGGTATCAGGTAGCTACGGGCAGGATGAGAATTGCTGACATCCGGTTCCTCCCATTCGGAGCCTTGCGGGGAGGAAGCCCTGTGTTCTCGCTTGCAGCATTCCAGAGTTGGGAGGGGGAAGAGGAGTCTTGGTTGAAAGACCACAGATGATCTCCTTTCTTATCTAATTTTCATAGATTTTCTTGAGTAGATGTTTATTCATTTGCTGTTTTCTCTTAGGATGATTTCCAAAACTTTAAATGGTTGTTTGTTGTTGGCTTGTGTTATAATAATTTTCATCAGGTGCACTAGGAAGTGGATCAGCCCAGCTCCTCATCGCTGTCATGCTGGTAGTCAATCTCTTGCCAACAAAAGTTAGCTGCCACCAATCTAAGGCCAACAGGAGTTCCCAATATGGGGTTGGGGAAAAGGAGAGACTTTCTTCAGGTGAGCAGTTTGTAAACAGGGAAACAGTCTCCAGAGGATCAGAAAGTGTGCCTTTTAAGGAGCAAGTTCCCACCCCAGTGGCTGGTCCATCTTAAGGTAAATGAGGTACCCAAATTAGCACAGTCTGGTGGACCAAAAATAGCATTGTCCTGACTGGCCAGCGGTCTGTGTTTTGATGGGTCATTGTGGAGCCTGATTGGCCAGAGTGGATGCAAATGGGGATATAGCTGTCTGTGTCGTTCAGATCCGAGGTGCAGGTGGTCTATCAGCCCAGTGGTAGAAATAGATAGAAGTCTTTTATAACTTCTTATAACGGTTGACTCTGACGGCAGGAACTGTAGCTGTTTGTGGTTCAGGAGCTCATTTGCGGTTTTCTCCGAAATGCAGCCTCTGCTTCCTATAGCATAGCTGCTAGATGTTTTCTTATGAATTTGAACCCAACTGATAAGAAGGGGTCCTTCTGGGCGGGTACACTATTCTTTCACCGAGGTCAATACTCTGTTGGTATTATTCTTGCCACTTTTCTGTATATTTAAATTTATTTCAAGAAAGGTTAAAAATTTTAAAAAAATCGCCAAGTAGTTATTAGGAACACATAGATGAAAACATGAAGTGCTCTCACATTTGCTATTTATTCCCCTACATCAGTAAAAAGCACTAGCAGAGTTTGCTCCTAACGCCAACTAACCCTGCCGAAACAACCCTGGGTTCGAGTAAACGGTTACAGGGGTTATAAACAGGAAATAGGGGTTGGCTGTGGTCCAGAGATGGTTCAACCCACGGGGGCTGGTGAGTGGGGGTCTCTGGCCCGAACACAGGGCCCAGACGTAGGCCGGCAAACCGTGGTTTGCAGGGTTAAGGGAGGGACAGCTTCTTGGCAACGGGCGTTTGGCGCGTAGCAAAACGCCACGTCTACTTCCACTTTGCTGCTGAGGCGTCCGGGAAAGCGAAGCCTGAAAGGTTGCGGCGGTAGGAAAGCCCCGTGGACCGCACGGTACGTGGCCCTCTCCCTCCCGCCGCTCCGGCTCCAAACACTCCAGACCTGGTTGCAGGCTGCGCGTCAGTGTCGCCGGGCGACCC